ACGGCGATGCTTTCTAGGAAGAATTTCCTTATTGCTTCTCCCACCGAGCCTGGGAAAGGGATCGAGATGTATTCCCCTGCTTTCTACGCCGCTTGTACCTTTGGTGGAATTCTCAGCTGTGGTTTGACTCACATGACCGTTACTCCTCTCGATCTCGTCAAGTGCAATATGCAGGTATGCACCACTTAGATCCGTATCCTTCGTATGTTTTTCCGGTCTCGTTTTCGCGGATCTGTGTTCCTGTGTTGCTCAGGTGGTGAGATCTACGTTTTAGGCTTGTTTTCTGGGTTGGATAAATCCGTGATCTGATTTTCCTGAATGATTTGTGTTGTGTTGTGTTGCATTCTCTTATTTGAAGAACTGTTTTATCTCGGTTATACGTATCGTCGTCCCTGCATAACCATGTATAGACGCTCTTTCTTCTTCTGCCTCGCTTGTATCTGTTTATTCTTCGATCTGTTTCTGAGTTCTGGTTTATTTCTAAAATTACATAATTGGCGTTGGGGTATGTGTGGATTGATTTACATGGTCTTGTAATACTTAATGATATTCATTTTCATCCAGATTGATCCAGCAAAGTACAAGAGCATCTCGTCTGGTTTTGGGATTTTGCTGAAAGAACAAGGAGTCAAGGGATTTTTCCGTGGATGGGTTCCTACTCTGTTGGGTTACAGTGCTCAGGGTGCTTGCAAATTTGGATTTTATGAGTACTTTAAGAAAACCTACTCTGATCTTGCTGGACCTGAGTACACTGCCAAATACAAAACCCTCATCTACCTTGCTGGTTCTGCTTCTGCTGAGATCATTGCCGATGTTGCACTTTGCCCATTTGAAGCTGTCAAGGTCCGGGTTCAGACACAGCCTGGATTTGCCAGGGGAATGTCTGATGGATTTCCCAAGTTTGTCAAGTCTGAAGGATTCGGAGGGTGAGTTTTTGAATCCTCCCTAGTTATAGCTAGCCTTCTGCGTCTGATTTCTTTCTTTTTGCAGTTTGTATAAGGGTCTTGGTCCACTCTGGGGACGTCAGATTCCTTGTAAGTTCTAGCCTCTATTTTGCAATCTGTTGCACATTATCTTCTCTATTCTGGGTCATGAAGTCTATACTTTTTTCTTTGAAATGAAAAGTGTGGTGATAGATTTCTGCAAATGTAACAGACACTATGATGAAGTTTGCTTCATTTGAGACCATTGTTGAGATGATTTACAAGTACGCAATCCCCAACCCAAAGGATCAGTGCAGCAAAGGTCTGCAACTCGGAGTGAGTTTTGCTGGAGGTTACGTCGCTGGAGTGTTCTGTGCAATTGTGTCTCATCCAGCCGATAATTTAGTGTCGTTCCTCAACAACGCTAAGGGAGCAACCGTTGGAGATGTAAGTCACAAAATGTGCATGATATAAACTTCTTCTTACATGTCAAATACAAGAGCCAAAAGCTACGATGGTTGCTTTTTGTTAGTTGTATTACAAAGGAAACTATTGGTATCTGTTGCTGTTGGATTAATATATTGAATTGTTTGTTGCAGGCGGTGAAGAAGATAGGAATGTTGGGACTGTTCACAAGAGGGCTTCCTCTGAGAATTGTGATGATAGGGACATTGACTGGAGCACAGTGGGGATTATACGATGCTTTCAAAGTCTTTGTTGGCCTGTAAGATCCTCTCTCCTTACTTTCATCTTTCCTCTATACCTTAAAAAATGCAAAGTCTCATTCTTTTTTTTTTTTAAACTTGGTTCAGGCCAACCA